TCTCGGCACCGACAAGACAGCAACTGACAAAACAATACAGTTCTTGAAAGAAGACAATATTTTCTTCAAAATTTAGATTTAATATATGATTAATCATAATATCAATCAGTAAAAAGGCTAAAGGCTAAACCTTCAAACTAACAAAAAACATTATAACAACAACAACAACAACAATAATAATAATAATAATAATAATAATAATAATAATAATAATAATAATAATAATGTCATTATTAATGGTGAGGCTCAGGCCATAGGGCCTGCTCTTCCGCCTAACAACAACAATGTATGCAGTGATATATTTTTATGCCTAAAAGATGATATGTACTCATAATAAACTCATATTGCATAACAGAATATTAGTAATAATTAAGCTTGTGGAAATCCTGTGGTTGAGAGGCAGCATACCTGAAAAATTTACCACAGAATCCATAGTGCTCACAATAACTGATGCTCCTGTTGTAGCTACATCTAATTGCTTCAAAAGATCTCCAAAGAGAAGACCAAATGATGGTTCAAGAGATCTTGAGGCAAACTGCAAAAGTTAATTGATAATATAATTATTCATGAACAATAAATCTACCACAGAGAAATTAGTTTCTATTACATTAAGAATGCTGACACCAAGAACAATAACCCAACCCCATCCACCATCAGGAGCAACAAGTTTGTATTTGCTTTTTGGCTTCATGACGACCTTACACTACCTGCAACAAAATAACACATATATTTACCATGTAGGCTCTCTTGTTTGAATGACATTATTATTATTAACTTGATTAGCCACATTGGACCACTTAAGTCGTTCCACTTCACTAGTTCATGGTCGACTGTCGAAGGTGTTTTGTCATCTTGAGATGAGGATAAATGCTGGAGTTACAATTCTGAATGTTATTCAGAAAGGTGATAATGAGAGATGGAGGATGACGTTATGAATAGGGGTGAAAGGACGAACACAACACAACCATGCCGAGGCGGGACTCGAACCCGCGATCCTTCGGTCCGAGATCGCAACGGCACTACTGCTTTGGCGATCTCGGCCACCGGATCGGCGTTTGAATGACATTAATATAAAAATTCAATTAGAAAACATTGAACTGATTTTGAGGTGTAGAAAAGCACAATTAAAAATTAATTACAGGCTTTTAACCTTTCAATTTGGCTATGATTTTCCTTGAAAATTTTTTTGTTACATAAACTTTTCTTAATAACTTAATTAACATTGCAAAATTATTCTTTTTTGCCAGATGTCCACTTTTTTTCACACTGGTTCACTTTTCTTCTTCTTTTTCCCCCCCACAAAATGGTGGACTTTACTTTGTATAATATATACAAAGTAAAGTCCACCATTGTTGAATATTTTGCATTGTTGTACTGAAATGAAAGAATTATTCCTTAAAGACAAAGAAGTGATCAAAGCTGTGCAGTGAAATAAAAAATATACATGACTGCAAAGTAAAATGTGATTTAATATTTTATATATTATTATTATATATTTGATGTTTGAAGTTTAAGTAAAATTTTGAAGTGGTTTTAGGGCAGATCGATCTTGCCTAGATAACCTGTTTTGTCTGCCTCAGGTGAATGGCAAACAGAGAGAGAATTTCACATTGTCTTTCTTGATATAGCAAAGGCCTATGATAGTGTGCCAGTCATAAAGTTATGGGAAATTATGAATAAAAATAATGTAAATAAAATCTTAATAAATGCGGAGAAGGATTTGTGTATTGATCGAAAGGGAAAAGTGAAAGTTGGAAAACAGATGACCCAAACATTTCCCATATCAAATGAACTACGGCAAGAATAGTGTTTGTCACATACTGTCTTTAAAATGTATGTTAATGCGGTGTTACCGATATGAAAACGAAAATGTGCTGGGATGGGAATACCACTTAATGGTAATACAAGACTCTATACCCTACATTCACTGGTGCTGATGGCACCAGAACAGGAGAATATTGAATTTATGACTAAGAAAACTATTAGAAATGGTGAAATGATTATGAGAAAACCTCAACTTAAAAAAACAGTATACTGGTCTCTAGGCGGTACACATGTCAAATTGACTATAGAAACTGGAGAAATAATAAGAACAACTAAGGACATAAAGTACTTGGGAACAACAATAGGGAAACAGGATTTTTATGAAAAGGAATATATGATGCCGTTATATATATATATATATAT